TCCAGAAACCGAAGAAGGAGAAAACTTGGAGGGAAAAAGCCCAGGACGCCGCTCGATAGGATTGCACATTCATTTGCTAGAAACCCTAAGCCCTAAACCCTATATCCTATAACCATGAACCCCAAACCCAAAAGCTGAGAAACCTTACCAGACCCTTATCAAACTCCTGCAACCCCTAGAGCCCCTAACAGATAAGATCAACCCCATATGGCACCCAAGGCGGACAAGCGGGCGAACAAGGACATAATCGAATATCAGGGATTCAGCGAGATCCTAAATGCGGCTGGTGTGCGCCTGGGCTTACATTCTAAACTCCTGTCCTCAAGACCCGAACCTCTAGCCTATGATACAAAAGCCGTACATCCCTAAACCCTAAAACCTTAAACCCGAAGCATCCCTAAACCCTAAAACCTCAAACCCGAAGCACCAAAACCTTCCACACAAAAAAGCGAAACCCCAAAGCCAGCCGATGCTCAACACCCTGGGATATACATCGTACTAGTACATATACGCATATTATAAATTATGTACATGTCATGGATCACACACCCTGAACTTTTAAGCCCAAGGAACACCGAAACCTGATCGCGCGGTAGGCCAGGGATTTAGGGTCAGTACATGTATAACGATATTCGAACCCCAACCTAACAGTATACTTTAGGGTTCGGTGTTGAGCTTCCAGGGAGCCCAAAACCTAAACGCCAGACCCCAACTCCTTAGTTCGAGCTTCTAAATTAATCTTTATCCAATGACTATAATTGCTCCTATAATGTATAGGTCGTTAACCTGAACCCCAAACCCCAGACCCAAACTCCTAAACTCGATGAACTCCAAACTTCGAGGTCGTATGTCCCAAACCCTAAACGTCCCAGACTAAACCCTAAAACTCGAGGTCTTATGTCGCAAACCCCAAACCCCAGACCCTAACTCCTAAACTCNNCTAACCTCCCGACCCTAACTCCAAAACTCGTGGTCATATGTCCCAAACCCCAAACCCCAGACCCTCCTAAAGTCGTGCTCTTATGTCGCAAGCCCCAAAGCCCAGACCCTAACTCCCAAACTCGAGGTCTTCTGTCTCAAACCCTAAACCCCAGACCCTAACCCCTAACTCCTAAACTCGAGGTCTTATGTCTCAAACCCTAAACCCCAGACCCTAA